ACTGACGTCTCTGGTCCTCAGAGAAGATGTCTACCTAGAACACCCAGGAGTCAGAAACAAAGGCCTCCAACACCCTACTGCTGGGAGAGATCTTGCGTCTCCACCGCCTAGGCGGTGCCAGACAGCGGGGTGGGCCAGGACCTCACAGCGATCGCAGGGACAGGAGGGAGCCCCTTAGGGTGGGGACAGCTCAGAGGTCCAGCTTGGCCTGGGCAGGACCCCACGGCCATCCAGGAGACAGGAGGGGCACCTCAGGGCAGGGACAGCTCGAAGGACCAGCTCGGCCTGGGCAGGACCCCGCGGCCATGCCGGCGACTAGAGGGGGCCCCTCGGGGCGGGGACAGCTCCGAGGACCTCGGGGACCTGCCCTCCCGGTGCGGACGGAAGTCCACCCGAGAGCTGCAGCAGCAGGACGCCTTCCCTCCGTGAGCTCAGGGAGGTCAGCGCGTGTCCAGGGCCGTCCGCACCCGCCTATCCCGGGGCTCCGGCGGGCGTGCGGCCCACCTCCGGAGCGCTGCCCGGCTGTGGCCCGCGACTGCCCCCCGCGCCCCGCAGACGCCGCCCCGGCTTCCAGCGCGCACCCTCCGGCCGTGTCCCCAATACCCTGAGGATAGCCACCGCGGGGCGGCTTGGCACGAGCTTCACCGCACACCCGTACGTAAGAACGCAGGGCCCCGCGCCTGCGAGCAGCCGCCCCGCCGGGACCTCCGGACTGCGTCTCGGGAATCCCGGTCTGCGAGGGGCACGACCCCGCGCCCGCCCCGGAAGGCCCCGCCACTCACCACCGTGGGGACCCGGCCCAAGGCGGCCGCCGCCAGCCCGGCCAGCCGGCGCCGCAGCATGAGCGCCAGCGCCGCCGCCGCCGCCGCCGCCGCCGCCGCCGCCGCCGCCGCCGCCGCCGCCGCCGCCGCCGCCGCCGCGCGCCCGCGGGGCGACGTCACACCGCCGCGCCCGGCCTCCGCGGAGGTGTACGTCATGGAGCCGCGCCGGCCGCCTGCGTCCGAGGGCTGCGCGTCGTAGCGCGGCGCCGACCTTGCACCGCCCTCAGGGTTGTCCTCAACTCCACGCGACGCAGCGCTCGCGGATGACGTCGCGGCGGGGCCGTGGGTGGACGGGGTGGCAGGTCGGCTGGGACGCCGGGGTTCGGCGTTGCTGCGGAGCTCAGGCAGGGGGGCAAGTGGGTGCGATACGGGGTTTTACCGACGGGTGGGCCGGGCCCCGCCCCCGGCGGCTGGTCTCCCAGCCTGTCCTTTCCCACCGGGTCGCTTCCGGAGGCGGAGGGAGGCCCGCGGATGCCCTGTCTACGCGGACAGGGAGGCCTGTCTTCGTCGGCGGTCGGACGCCGGGGTCGCGGGCCGTCGGCGTCCCGGCTCCCCCGCCATCCGGATCCCGGCGCTCCGAGTCTCCCCCCGCCGTCCGGCCCCCGGTAGCCCGTGTCTCTCCCGCCGTCTCGACTTGGAGCTCGGCCCCGGTGCCCCGAGTCCATCCTGCTGTCCCGACCCCGCTGTATGCCGGGGAAGTAGGTAGTCTTGAGAAGCCCCCACAGCGTGTGTTCCACTCTGTCCTTGAGCGGCTTCCCCCACTCCGTGACCCGCTGGAAAGGATCTGTACCGGGCCACGGGGTTCCTGACGCAGAGGTTTGGGTGTCCGGCACCTCTAGACTGCAAGTGCGAGTGGGACTGGCAGAGACCCGACGACGACTCCCCCGTGGGAGACGCACTTGCGTCTATGGCTTCTAACGGGCTGGGGTTCTCTGAAGGTCAGTTTGGTGGGAATCCTTGTCTTTTAAAGAGATGTCTTTTTTCCTTGCCCAGCAGGTTGCCCACCAGGCCAGTGGCTGAGCTTGAGCCTCCACGTGCCACAAGGGCCCTGAGGACGAATGGCTGCCGCGGGCAGGCTGCTTGGGTAAGCAGGGGTTTCTGGGCCCCTGGGGACTGCCATCATGGGGGCCATCTCAGGGGAGCTCTCCCAGCCAGTGTGTTAACTTGGAGCAGATGGAAGCCACAGCAGGCGTGGAGGGTGGAATGAAGCGGTTTGTGAGTCCTTGGCACCAGACATGTGGTGCTGGTGATGTTCCTGTGGGATCCTGCAGCCCAGCCTGGCTCTGGGTTCTCGCAGAGAGCCATGCCTTCCAGCTGTTCCCCCCAGAATTGCCCCCGTCCTGCCCTTCCCCTCACCCCTGGCTTCCCCGAGAAGTATGGTGTGGCCACAGTGTTGCGGAGAAGCCAAACCGGGGGGTTTCTAGTGGGTCCTGTGGAATCTGGGAGATATGAAGAAAGGGGTGGGGCACATGAAGCTGTGGGTCCACGTGGAGCTAGGCAAGGGACTCTGGCTGCAGGGCCCTCGTCCCAAGACAGTTCATGTTCAAGCTGCTGGAACGGTTCCAGCCCCAGCCTGCCCAGCCGGGCTTCTCAGGGGTGGCCCTGTCTCGAGCTCCTGGGCACCGCCCCCCCACCCAGCCTGCCTGCTGCAGGCTTCCTTGGTGCTAGAGCTTACCACCAGTCTCCTGTCTGCATCTCCATGACTCTGTCAGTGGGTCTGGGGTCTTTTGTTAGAATTGACTCAGGCACCAGTGACAGCTCCGGGACTTCCCAGCAAACAGGGTGTGTTCTTCCTGGTAGGACGGCAGGGTCTGGTATCCCACACACACCCTCACTCAGCCATAGGGGTTGCTGGGAAGTACAGGGTGTGGAGGGAACGCTGCCAAGGTAGGTGCTGCTGGGCTGGAGCTCTGCGGCCGCAGGGCACTCAGCCAGGCTGTCCTGTGAGCAAAGAGGCTCCAGAGCATGGGGACGTGACTAGAGCCAGTGGGAATGGTTTAGGCGTGACATCTTGGCTCTTGCTATGCCTTGGCAAAGGCATGTGGTGGGTGTCTGCCCCTGGAGTAGCCCACTGCCCTGGGGAGCTCTGTAGTTGTGCCTTGTGACAGCCTAGGGTCTGAATCCAAGTTTGCAGGAAAGCCAGGCTGGAAGGGACGGGATTGCTGTGGGTTCGCTCTGCAAGACAGATGACGCATACAGGGCTTCCTCTCCTCCTGTCACCTCCTGGCAGGCCCCCTCCCCGCAGGGCACCTGCTGTGTGCAGGAAGGGCAGGTGTCTGCCATGCGGGGGGGGGCAGTTGGTGGGGGGGACTGCAGGTGTCTTGGTCTGCTCAGGCTGCCCTCACAGAACGCCATAGGTGGGGCAGCCCCCCTCCCCAGGTCTGGAGCCTAGAAGTCTGAGTGCAGGATGCCAGCAGGCTGGGTTCTGCTGAGTCCTGTCTTCCGAGCTCGGAGTCCTCCCGGGGGAGCTCTGCTCTCTGGCTTTGGTAAGGATCCCCGTCCCAGCATGGAGGCCTTCAGGACCTAACGTAATCCTGATGTCATCCCGTGGAGGTTAGGGCTTCGATGTGCAAGGCTGGGGGAACGCAGAAGTCCGAGCCACAGGACAGGAAGTCGTCTCCTGCCTGATGCTTGGCACCCTAAGCCCACTGGGGTCCCAGCTGCTGCACTTCTGACCTCACTCGTCTGAAAGTCTCCTGCACTTGCCCCAGTGGTCTCTTCCGTGGGGCAGAAGCTGTTCTGACCAGGCCCCACTGCAGTATGCGTCACTGTGTGTCCCCATGGGGGCTGGGTGGCGTGGGCGCTTTGGTCCCAGTGGCAGCCCCTGACCAGTGTGTGTGTGTGTGTGTGTGTTTGCAGCCTGCTGCAGCAGCCCGTGTTGAGGGGGTATGCTCTGGTGCATGCCCGCCTACATACATCCTCCTGGCAGGCCGATAGCAACAGGGCCTCGCTCACGCGTGTGCACCGACAAGCCTATGCACGCCTCTACCCTGTGCTCCTGGTCAAGCAGGACGGTTCCACCATCCACATCCGCTACCGAGAGCCACGACGAATGCTTGAGGTGTGCTCCTCGCCCTGCCCGCACTCCCTGGGGCACAGTCCTGGCAAGCTGGCCTGTAGCAGCCGCCCCCCCCAGGGCTCGTGGGCTCAGGAGCCACGGCAGCCATGAACTGGAACTGCTGAATGAGGAGAGGGACAAGGAAGAGTGGAGTTCCCTGCACAGGTCAGGGCCAGACAGCAGCTGTGTGTCTGCTGGGTAGCAGTGTTGGAGAAGCAAACAGAAGTGTTTGCTTAAAGATTGAGAGCCCTGAGGGGAGATAGAACCCAGCAGAAGATAGAAACTCTCACCCACACCATGGAGAATGAGGTGCAGGAGACACGGGCAGGGCCCCAAGCCCTCTGAGTGAGCCGTGTACATGTCCCTCCCCACAGATGCCTGTGGACCTGGACGCCCTGTCCCCAGAAGAGAGGAGGGCACGGTTCCGGAAACGCGAGGCCCAGCTCCGAAAGAAAGAGGAGGAGGAGCCAGAACTCAGCGATGACTTTGACATGGAGCAGTACAAGCGGTTTTGGACAAAAAAGTGATGGGCCTGGAAGCTGCCTGGGTGGGGGATGCGAGTGTGGGGATGGTGTGTCTTTACATGGTGTGTTCACAAAGCCGTCTCCACGTTGCCTTTCCTTCTGGGCCAACCAAGCCAACCAGGTTGTCTAGAATTGGGTCGGGCTGTGGTGTTTGCACGAGGCCTGAGGGGCACGCGGGCCACCAGTGTAGGAGGAGGAAGAGGAACCAGAGTCAGCCCCCATGGGCCCTGGAGCCCCCTCACCCCATCCCCCATTCAGCCTCAGGACATGAGGGGCTCTCCTGGCGGAGCACAGCAGCTGCAGGGATGGGGTGGGAGGAGCGGGGTATCTGGGAAGACAGCACGGGTGGACCCTGCCCCTCACCGGGGCTCCCAGCTGCTCCTGGCCCATAGGAGTAGGGGTGTTCACTGGCAGCAATGACAAGCTAGGCTTTCTGTGGGCACTTGCCATTTATCTGCTCTGAGGTGGGTTTCCCCTAGCCAGGCTTCTGCGCGACCAAAGGAGCAAGTTCTAACCTTTGCAAGTGCAGCCAGCATGGCCCAGGCCCAGGGCTGACCTGTGTCCTGTTCCAGGCTTTCGATCCAGGCTGCGTCTCTGAGACCTGGGTCCTGCACTGCAGCTGGGAAGGACGTGCGGGCCTGACAGAGGAGGGAGGGAGGGAGGTGGCTGTGTCCCTGGCTCCCAGGGACAGGTGCTGGGCTGGTTCACCCAGCACGCTGCCACCACCGGTTCCGGGAGACGCTCCTTGGCCTGGTGAGTGCTTGCTGCGCAGAACAAGTTACACACCACACTTGTGGGGAACTGGCAGCAGGGGATAGATTGGGCACAGAACGGGCACGTGGGCACTGGCAGTCACAGGCAGGGTGTTGGGGATAGGCAGTTGCTAAGATGGCTCACACAGAGGGATTCTGGCAGAAGCCACGCCATGGGGCAGTGGCCCAAGCAGGCCTGACAGCGCCCACAATGCCCAGCTCTGCGTAGGTACCTGCAGCCCTCCTGAGGGTGGGGGTCTGAGTACGGGTTCTCGCCATACCGGGTGAGGCGGACGGGGACCCGAGGGCCTGTCTGCAGAGCTCTGGGAGTCTTTTCAAGTCTCCCGAGACTTCCCGTCCACGGACCCCAATCCCCGGCCTCCACCCATCGCGCTGAGTGGCCGTGGGGGCGGGACAGGAACCCTTGCGCAGGCGCGCCGGGGCGGGGCGCGGAGAATGCCGGACCTGCGAGGGGTGACGTCACGGCGCGCGACGCGGGAGCGGGTGCCGGCGGCAGCGCCGCCCTGAGCGGCGAGGCCGGGGTTGCGAGACGCCGGCGGGCGGCTTCGCATCATGTTCGGCTCCAGCCGGGGCGGCGTGCGCGGCGGGCAGGACCAGTTCAGCTGGGAAGACGTGAAGACCGACAAACAGAGAGAGAACTACCGGGGGCGGCGGGGGGCGGGGCCGGGGGGGGGGGGGGGGGGGGGTCGAGGTGCGCGGGAAGCCGCGAGTGCAGGGAACGAGGGGCCGCGGATGCGGGGAAGAGGTGCACGGGGAGCCGCGAGGGTCCGCGGGTGCAGGGAACGGGGCTGTGGGGGTGCCCGGGTGCTGGGTAGCGCAGGGTTGCACCCTCGGGGGACGCGGGAGGCGCGCCGACCCGCCGGCCGAGCCCTGGACACTGCTTCCCCGCAGGGAACTCGCTGATGGCTCCGGTGGGCCGCTGGCAGAAGGGCCGCGACCTCACCTGGTACGCCAAGGGCCGGGCGGACGGTGCGGGACTGAGCCGGGAGGAGGAGCTGGCGGCTGTGCGGCAGGCGGAGCAGGAGGCACTCATGGCGGCGCTGTGAGTGCGCCCCGCGGGGTCGGGGACGCGCTGGGGGGGCGGGGGGCACGGAGGGGCGGGGCCCGGGTGCGGCCTGCAGCCCCTGAAGTTCGCCCGCGGCCCCCGCAGAGGCTACAAGAACGTGAGGAAGCAGCCCACGGGCCTGAGCAAGGAGGTGAGGGGGCCCTTTCGGGGGGCGGGGGGTGGGCAGGGGCCCGGGGTTGGGGGTGGAGCTGCTGCGAGCGCCCGCGTGCCCCCGCACAGGACTTTGTGGAGGTGTGTAAGCGGGAAGGAGGGGATCTCGAGGAGAAGGGAGTGGACCGGCTGCTGGGCCTGGGGAGCTCCAGGTGCGTGGCGAGGGGTGGACGGGGCGCGTTGGGCTTGCGGAGGTAGCACCTGGCGGAGGCCGGGGCCGGTCGGTCTCATCGTGGGGGTTCTCCCCCGCCTTCCCACAGCGGCTCGGCAGGCCGAGTGGCGTTGTCTCGGGAAGACAAAGAGGCCGCCAAGCTGGGGCTGTCGGTGTTCACCGTAAGTGCTCGCGTCCCGCGGGGACCCCCACTTCCCGCAGAGCGCCCCCCCCCCCCGCCGCCGCCCAGAGTGAGTGACCTTCCTCCGCAGCACCAGCGCGTGGACAGCAGCCGGCCAGGCTCCTCACCAGCCTCGGCTAGGAAGAAGCCTCGGTCAGAGGAGGACAAGGCAGAGCCCGGGTAAGGGCTGCACCCCCGCCTGTCCCAATGGTCTCGGTGCATTGGCTGCCTGCTGGGTCCCCAGAGGGTGGTGCTCCGATGGGATGTGGGCAGGGGGAGGGCAGGTGTCGCATGCTGGATGGGCTGGCTATGGGCACCTGCGGTCAAGACCTGGTGATGAGGCCGTGTGCTCACAGCCCAGAGAGCCACAAGAAAAGCAGGAAAGAGAAAAAGAAGAAGAAGAAAAAGAAGCACAAGAAAGAGAAAAAGAAAGACAAGACACATCGGAGCAAGATGGCCTCGCCGCTGACCCCCACCTCTGCAGGGTAGGTGGACCTCTGCCTTGGGGTGGCCTGGTGGGTGGGGCAGGGCAGCCTCCCACATTCACGGCATCCCTGGTCTTCCCAGATCTGGTCGCCACAGGCACGGCTCTGACTCGGATGTAGACTCCTTGCCTTGTTCCAAGAGGCGGCGCCGGGACCACAGTGACTGAGGCCTGCCCCCCCCCCCCACCGCCTCTGGCCCAGCAGCTTACAGAGCTAGTGCCACCCAAGGAGGACACACTGGGCCTGGAAAGAGCTCATACAGCCGCTTCTATTTTTCTTTCACTCACTCTTTGTACCGAAATAAACTTATTTTAAGGGAAAAAGTGTTGGCCCCATGTTCTGGTACAACCAGCCTGAAACCGTTGGGAGGGGGACTTCCCTGTGCTGGTGTCCTACATGGGCCTGACGCTTAGATTGCAAGGGGCACAGACTTGTCTCTGGCATGTCCCCCCCACTCTCCCCCTGGGGACCTGCCTGCTGAGTCCTCTCTGCTCCTGGGTAGGATCGGGCCTTCTGCCATCTCTGCAGGGGGGTGCGCATGGAACCAAACTAACCCTTAAAACCAACTGGAGTGAGGACAAAACCCAGGCTGGGCTCGTAATTCCGAAGACAACTCTGTCCTCACAACCCTGACTCTGGTCTTCAAGCTGTTGGTAGAGGTGAGTGATCCAGGGTGGAGGCCAGACTGGGCCAACAGCCTTACCGGGCTGAGGAGCAAGGACTCCAGAGTGGAGGGAGGACCTTCAACAAGTAAGGGCATGTGGCAGCAACAAGGGGCTCAGGAACAGGCCGACTAGGGTGTGTGCCTGTCTGCAAGCAGGGGTGCACCAGGGAGGATGGGCATGGGGAAGAGCAGGCAGCCCGCACACAGAACCCCTCCAGCTGGCCTTGAGCACAGCCCACAGCCTGGCACTGCCAGGACGGACCAGGACAGGACACGGCCAGTGGGAACTTCCAGTCAGCTGCACGGTCCTGTTCCCTGGCTAAGGACCAGTGCCATGGGCCGCTGGCATCCAAGCACTGGAAAGCCACAAAATAGTTAAGACGTTTTATTCTAGTTGCTATAATTACAGTGCTTGTTTGTCGAAATGAAAACTGAAAACAGGTATACAAAACAGTTGATTACTAATCGTGTATTGAAAGCAGTAAGAGGTTCCACGACACCAAATAAACCAGTTCTGAGGATTTCCCCAAGATAAAGTTTAACAGCTCCAGCTTCTTCAGTGTTTATCAAAATACAAAAGAAAACAGTAGAGGTCGTCGTTTCGATGGCAAATCTGACCCTTGCAGGCTGAGGGAGTGAAAGCACATGTAGACGGGGGCTCCAGGGGCTGAGGCTCTAGGGTGACCGGCCCGCCCGCCTGCACTCCTGCTGGTGAGACCCCAGGCCGCCCAGAGCAAGCCAGAGTGCCACGCAGACCCAAGGGAAAGCCGGGGTCCCCCCCCCCCCGGCCCCAGGGGTCCGTGAGCGCTGGCCGCAGCTGCCAGCCTATCTCCTGGGCAGCTGGGAAGCACGAGCAAGCAGAAACGCTAGGGGATGTGGGATGACCCAAGACAGCGAATCACAGGGACCCTATGGTGACCATGCAGAATGGACCGTGGCTGGTTCTGCCCCGTCGCACGTTCCCAGTGGGAAACAGACCCCTGGTGGACTGGACTCTGGCCACCGCTGCAGAACCAACACTGGGCATGGTTCTCCCTTCTGTAGGTTCAAGTGTTCTCCTTATCTTGTCTTTTTAACTATTTTAAAAATGCACTGAGTTCGGGTTAAAAACCCACCACCCAAATGAATCTCAACACAGATCAAACGCCCGAGGAGGTGTGCCAGGCTGGTCGGACACAGCGACTCCTGGAGGCCCCGTGTGCCTAAAACCCCTTCTCAGTATTAACAGTGGGTTGATTCTCTGTTTACAATAAAAAAAGCTGAGTACTATTGCATAGGAGTACCAGAAACTGCCTCATTGGGAACAACAACTATTTACATTAAATAAGAACCCGGCTGCAGGCTGCGTCTGCACATTTACAGCATGGGGAAGCACACTGTGACCGACCATGGAGACAGCTTCTGGCACTCACACCACATGAGAGTAAAGCAGGGTGGAGGAGGGAGTGGGGCGGGGGGCGCGGCTCACTTCTGGTTCCGGAGCTGATTGGACAGCCAGTCCAGTCCCTCATAGAGCCCATCCCCGCTGGTGGCACAGGTGGCCTGAATGTACCAGTTCCTGTGGCGCAGGGAGTGCAGCCCCAGCTTGTCTGTGATCTCCGCCGCGTTCATGGCGTTGGGGAGGTCCTGGTGGGAGAAGCCCGGGGGACATAGGTCAGCACTTGGCAAGGACCCCTGTGCGCCCGTGAGCCCCACACCCACCCGCATTTGCCCGCTGACCATGCGCGCATGCGCACGCACCTGCTTGTTGGCGAACACTAGCAGGACGGCGTCCCTGAGCTCGTCCTCTGCCAGCATCCTCATGAGCTCCTCCCGGGCCTCGTTGACGCGCTCTCTGTCATTGCTGTCCACCACAAAGATGAGACCTGCGGAGCCGTGGGCGTCAGGACAGGCAGCTAGGGCACCCCAACCCCCTCCGCCGGCTGCAGCACGCCTGCTCACCCTGCGTGTTCTGGAAGTAGTGGCGCCACAGCGGCCGGATCTTGTCCTGGCCGCCCACGTCCCACACGGTGAAGCTGATGTTCTTGTACTCCACGGTTTCCACGTTGAAGCCTGTGTGAGTGGGACCCAGCTGAGCCTTCCCCAGGCCCCTCCACCCCGCCCCAGCCCCGCCCCGGCCCCTTGGCATGCTCCCCTCACCTATGGTGGGGATGGTAGTCACGATCTCGCCCAGCTTCAGCTTGTAGAGGATGGTGGTCTTCCCTGCAGCGTCCAGCCCCACCATGAGAATGCGCATCTCTTTTTTGCCAAAAAGGCCCTTGAAGAGGTTGGCGAAGATATTTCCCATGCTGTAGGCGTGCGGGAGGAACACTGGCCAGAGAAACCTGTAGAGACAGCAGTTCCCGGGTCCCTGCCTGCCGTGTGCGGGAGCAGCATGGGGCCCTTCCTCCAGCTCCCGCCGATGCACAGGCCTGATCCCTCAAAGCTCACAGGGCCCAGGCAGAGGAAACCAGGCTCCCAAGCAGCAGAAACGGAGTCCTTCCCCTGGAAGGGAGCATCTGGGGATCTCAGGACAGGGTGACCATCACTGGAGGCTGCGAGGCCCATGTGGACTCGACGACACGGGCCACGTGGCAAGGGGATACAGAGCGCCCTGACATGAAAGCGAGATCCTCCACAACACCCATCCCAGCAGGGACACAGGCCACAGCCAACTGTCCCCGACGTGCTGAGATCTTAGCACTCACCCCCACGCAGAACTTGGAACCAGACCCCATCTGGGCTCTCGGGCAGCACATCAGCCATGAAGTCTGAGGGGAAGCCTGTCCGGCAGGCCCTTCCACCCCAGTGAGGAGGCAGCCCCTAGGCTGCAGCAGGGTCCCCTCAATTCAGAGCAGAAACCTGGGCCCGAAGTGCCACCCACAGCTCCCCACCCCCCACCCCTAGGGCACAGGATGGTCCTTTCACTCTCTAGCAGTGTCCTTTCCACACACGGACTTGGGAGAGATGATCACTCACTCAAAGGCAGACTGCCCAGGAATCCAGGTTTTTGACACCTAGCGGAAGTCAAGCAGCAGGGTGTGGGACAGCCCTCAGACAGAGAGGAGGGTCTGTGTGGACAGAAAACCAGCTGGTCCACAGCAGGCACCGGCCAAGTGCTCCTGAGGCCAGGAGGGAGGCCTGCCAGCCACACCTGTCCCCAGGAGCGGTCAGGAGCTCCCCAGGCCTTGGAGAACGGACAAGATGCAGGCCCAGCCCACTGCCCCTGGAGGACAGGCTCAGGGGGTGTGGTCACCAGTGAGCACAGAGTGAGCACATGCACATTCCCACTTCCACCACGTTGGCAGCCAACACACCCTGGCCATAGCAGCCCGTCAGCACTGTCCCTGAGAATTGACAAGGCGGGACATTCCTGTTTTACTTGGTGGCTTTGATGCTCCAGTGGCCCTGGGCATGCCCGGCAGAGGCCTTCATACTGGCTTCCGTGCCCCTTTTTCCGGGTGTTGTTAAAGATTTTAAGTCACGTCTACACCCAACATGGGGCCCGAACTTACAACCCTGAGGTCAAGAGAGGCACGCTCCACCAACTGAGCCAGCTGGGCACCCCGCTTCAGTGCATCTCTGACATGTTTTTATGCTTTTGGGGGTGAACAATACTACCTATTCAAAACATTAAAATCTAAAATATTCTTTACTGTAACATTTCTTTTTTCTGCAGACAGCCCATTTTCCTCATAAATGCAGAGAATGAAAAATTCTCTGAGAAACACTCTTTCAATGTCAGTTCTGCCAAAATCACTAATGAAGAGATGCCCAACCCCCAAAACCAAAAAGAAAAAGGGGGTGATGAGTTCTGGAAGCCAAGGCCAAGTGTGCTTGGGGGTCTAACCTTGTGTTCTTCCTCAGCTCCGCAGGGAAGGGACCTTCCTGGAGCAATGGAACCCGGGCTCTGCTGCCTGCATCCAGGTGGGCAGGTGTGGGCGTGTACCATGCTGGACACAAGGACACAGCGTGCTAGACAGGCAGGTACACTAACCCGTGGATGGGCACAGATACCTGCAGGCCTCCAGGCTAGAACCTATGGCTGCCTGTATCTGCAGTACCCACCACTGTTGTTTGTACCCTAGCTCCCTTTAAGACGCCGCCAGCAGGGGGAAGGGGGGAAGCAAGACAGAAGACTACTTAAAAGGAAAAAACAAACAACCCCACCATCCCCAGGCATCAAGGTGGGGGATCTGGTGCCACGACGCAAGGACAGGTCCATGGCCACCTGAGATAAATAAGGATGGGGAGCAATTTCGAAAGCCCACATCTACCCGCGCATGGTGATGTCTTTTTAGATACAACACCAGAGGCATGACCCATGAAACACACAGCTACAAACTTCCACTCTGGTCACGACACCGTCAAGACAACGAGCAGATAAACCGGACTGCAAAAAAGTTAGTGCAAGATTAAAGGCTGTCATCGAATAAATACCCAGAAGGCCAATGACAACTCAGGAACAAACAAATTTCAATTGTATTTAATAACTGCAAAATGGCCGTGGGGGGAACGGCTCCAGGTGGCTCCAGAGGTTAAGCATCTGACTCTTGGTCTCAGCTCAGGTCTTGGTCTCACAGTTGTGGGATGGGGCTCTGAGCTGGGCATGGAGCCTGCTTAAGATTCTCTCTCCATTCCTCCCTCTCCTCTTAAAAAAAAAAAAAAAAAAAAAAAAGGCCAAGAAGAAAAAGAAAAGTACTGTAAGATGAGCCAAAGACCAGACATTTCCCTGAGGAAGATCACAGATGGCAAATGAGCACATGAAAAAATCTCCTCCAAGAAATCCAAATCAGAACGAGCTGCCCACGACGCACCTACTACCAAGGCCCAAACCCACAACACTGACACCACCAGCTGCTTAGGATACCTCGCAGGTGGCTGTGTCCTACAAAACCAGACACTCTCCTCACATAACAAAGGAGCTGCGGCTGTGTCCACACTGCGTCCTGTACCTGGGCATTTATGGTAGCTTTACCCACAATGCCCCAGTCAGAAGCCCCCAGGCGGTCCTTCAGGACACCGCCTGCCTGCACAGACTGTGCTCCACTTGGACCACCCCGCTGCCAGCGCTGCAAAGAAGCTCCCCACCACCAGAAGACGAGGGTGGGAGCGGGGTCGTGTGCCCCTGGGGGAAAGAAGCCCATCCAAGCACGCCACTCGCCCTATGATTCCAAGTGCAGGCAGTGTTCTGGAGAAGGCGGGACTGTGAAGATGGGAGACATACCACTTAGTGGGCACCAGGAGACATGAGGGAGCCCAGGAGGGCTCAGGGCTGTAAGACCATCAGTCTGGGTGACCCTGCAGGCACAGGCACACGTCCTTCCACACTTGTCCATGCCCACAACATACACACCATGGACAGTGAACCCCTGTGGAAAGGAGGGCCTCCAGCTGATGGAGTGTCAGTGTGGGTCCATCAGGTGGGGGGTGATGGGGACCGGAGCGCGGAGCTCCCTGTTCCTCCCCCTCCATTCTAGGGCAGCCAGAAACTGCTCCAAAAACCAAAGCACGCAGAGAATTCTGGGGAAGAAACCCTTCAATGTTGCAGTTCAGGAGAGCAGAAACCTCCAGACTGAAAGAGCCTGGTATACAAGCACAGAAACAGACGTACATGGGGACACCAAGGGTCCGAGTGCTTTATTCAAGTGACACAGCAGTGCTTCCAAGCTGTAGTTCTACTCCCAGCCCAGACAGCAGTTCAGGGGAGGGGCAGAAGGATGGAAGGCCAGAAATGCACACCTTCCCAGCAAGGTGGCCACAGGGGAGGGGAGACTGCCTCCCCCAACCCTGGAGGAGAGGAGGCACAGACAGAGGCAGACTTCCAGAGAAGGGGTACATGCCACGTGCATGGCTGGAACGGGGGGCTGGGCCATCCGAGGGCAGCTGGGGAAAACTGGTGACAGGTACCAACCAGCGAAAAGAGAACACTGTCATTTTTCCTGTGGGGAAGCATCAGTCAGTCACCAGCTGGCTCAATCCTGCTACCACTGCTGTTGCAGCTAGGGAGATCTGGGCGTCAAGGGGCGACCCCTATGCCCCAGAGCAGACACACTGAGGAACGGCAGCACACTCACCACGAAATACAGCCATGACAGAGCCAGGACAGGGGCCATGTCTGGGAGGCAGGAGGGGGACTGCGACTTCTACCTGCTTTAGCACTATCGCATCCTGTTCTTACAACCCGACACAAAAACCAAAGGATTCGGGGGTGACCCTCCCCAGCCCCCATGTGGGCAGAAGGACCACCTCAGGGCAAACCTGCCCACACACAACCCCTGGCTGGCTGGGCTGTGCTGCACCTTCATTACCAAATCCGAGAGCCCCCAGGAGCTGGGGATGAGCATGAAGTCTTGGGTTGAAGATGCCACTGCACACAGCAGTTGGTCTCCACAATGCCTCTAGACACCTCTGTACCTGCCACGCACCTGGTCCAGGGACCCTGGTTGCTCCTGGCCCGTCCCCAGCACCATCTACCGTTTTGCAAAAGGTCTGCATCAATGGCCAGGACGATCCCATGCTGATCCTCTCGGAACAGGGTCTACTGTGCAGGACACTCGGCCAAGGTGCCAGGCCACACCTGCTGCCGCCAGAGTCCCTTCAACTCATGTCCAAACCTGTCTTTCTAGTTTCCTGCGACGATCCTCTGCACCTGCACGCAATGAAAACGTGGCCTTGCTCCCAAGGGTTCTCTCCTGCCCAGGAGCTGGCGCCAGTCCCACAGCTCTGTGGGAAGGACCAGGAACAAGGTAAAGCAAAAAACAGGCGACCTATGTTCTTGAAGGCAAAGGTCTACTGGCCAGAGGCCCAGGCCCACAAAGGGGCCTCCCTGGGGAGGCCAGTCCAGTGAGATAAAAACGCGGTGTTCCACGACACGAATATCCCGTGAACAGCGCGGCTGCCGGAGAGCTGGCACTGTGGCTTGCACCTGTACCTGTGGCGGCCCCCCCGAGGCCTGGGAGGGGTCAGGGTGAGCCAAGCCACAGGAGGTGGCTGCCTGGACAGTCTCCAGCAGGGTTGCCAATAGCACCTGCACGACTCACCATCACTAGCATGACGACACCCCACCTGGAGTGCGGCAGGAGAGGAACACGTGACCTAGGGGCAAAGGTTCAAGGGTCCGGTTCCACCCTGTGCTGTGCAGAGCGAGTTCAGAGGGACGAACCCCCACTTGAATGGAAACCTGGAGGACATGGGGGCGTTTCCCCTTTCCAGCTCTGTCAGAGTCAAGTACATTGAGGTAAACGTGCAGCTCTGCCACCAGTCGGTTCTAGTGCTTCACGGGAGAAACATGAACACAGCACAGACTTCCCCACAGAGCTGCTAGGCACAGGGGCTGTTTTTT